GTCAGCCACACATTTCAGGAGAATGTGTTTTGACACTCATAACACCACATTTCCAAAGTGCCATTGTTTTGAGAACTTTGATCCTGTCTCCAGTCAGCTAAGTCCTCCTTTGGTGTCAGCAGACATAGCTTAGATACCCTTGCTGCTGGTTTCTTGTGAAAACTGAAATCCATGTGTCAGACAAAATGCAAGTCAGCTTACTGGAATGTGTGAAGTCCAGTTTTCAGCCAAGGAAATCGACCCAACATGGATGCAAGGGCTGGCAGAAAGCAGATCTCAGAAAAACTGTTCTGAAGATTAAGGAACATTAAGGAAAACTCTTTATAAGATAAAAAATAAAATAGACTCCATCCAAACAGCAGCACTAAGCCTTCTTGCAAAAATCCTACTGCTGACATTTTCCAGTTTGGAATGATGTTTATGCTTTGAAATTTATTTTTCTAAGATAAGAAGAAAGGAAACTTTATCAGTTTAACAGTAAATAAAACATATTTGATTGAATCAAAAGAGATTTTTTTTTTTTAATATTCTTGCCTTGTTCACTACCCCAAATTTCTAAAATTTGGTAATGATTATGCCTGTGCAAAAAGACTATTGAATTTTTCAGAGAGTTTCTGGGGGAATAAATAGACATTTGCAACATATTTTCAATTTATTTTCTGTTAAAATAACGTTGCCCAAAAAAGCCAAGACATTTAATAAATATTTAATTATTTATGTTATAGGATTTTAATCTCAATTTTAACTTTATTAGGTAACTAACAGGTCTGTGAATTCAGAATATCCTTATTCTGTGTTTTGAAGGCACAAGATTGGCCAGAATATTAAGGGCATTTTAAACACACAGTAATTAATCTTTATTTTCTTATCTGCACTGTTCCAGTTTTTAAATTAAAATTTAGTTCTATTTTTAGGGCTGCTAAGTGTAATTAAGGAGAATTTCAACATACAACATTATTCACTCTCCAAAGTCAAGAGGAAGGTATGATTTACTTGAAACAATGAAAATTTGAGACATAAGTCTGCTAATTTGCAGGTGATGATTGTCTTTGTGGAACTCACCTTTTTGACTCATTACTTGGTCTTGAAAACTCACCCTGTTCCAGACAGCCCCAAGTTGAAATTTAAGAGATGGCATCATAAATTGTTCCCTCTGGCTATACAGGAAGTTCTCTCATAACATCTAGACCTGCACCAAGAGCCAGACTGCCACTCACTGACAGGACTCAGATCCTAGAGGAAACCAGGGAACATTTTTCTTCACAGAAAACTTAAAATGGGAAAATGTGAAGTGTCACATTTTGGGTACTGTAATAACAGTCAGAGGAGAAGATACTGATTGAACTAGATGTAAATGAGAAAACAACAGATTTCAGACTGCTTATGAAGCTTTTGAATCATTAAATGAGTTTATGTCTAGATTCTATTGACCTGGGATAGGAGGCTGTGGCCTTCTGTAAAGTGCATATACTGATCATAAAAACAACAAATATAAATTATTATTTTCTTATAATTTTCTTTCTGTGTTCCCAAAATACAGGATTATTCAGGAAAGGTACTTATATGGTCATAAAATACAACAAAATACATAATACTTTTCCTTATAAGAGGTTCCATAATAATCCTCTGCTGGACAGAAGGAAGACTATTAACCTCCTTGTCATCCTGTGGTGTGAAATTCAGATGACAATGTGTCCTCTGCAATTTAAAAACCACAAAAATCTCACACTCTCATACTCTCTCTCTTTCTCATATCTTTTAAAAAAGACAATTCTTTTGCTCACCACCTGAAATTTTTTGCAGTTTAACTTCCATTTGATACTCTGCTGCAGCTGGAACATCCATTTCCACTAGAATCTCCATGCATCATGAGACACCACAGCAGGGAACACCTTCAGATATTTCTTATACTGGCACCTTAGTTTAAAGGTCATCATTATCTCTTTTTATGGCAGTTTTCAGACATTTGCTTTTGTTGTCATGCATAATTATTGTTGTCAGGCAGCACAGTGTCTTTGCTATTATGCAAAGATGGAATTTGATCTATATACTAAGTTCTGAACAAATAAAGAATGTAGAGATCAAATGCTAAAATCCTACCAAACAGTATTAGTTTATTTTGTGAAAGTTATTATTATTTTAGGATTGTTTAGTGTTTACCATACTGTGTTACTGTGCTTACCATAACACTAGTGATTTAGTTTGTAAGTACTAATTTTTTTTCTCTACAGCAGCTACCAAAATAGTAGATAAATTGCTGCTTAACTTTTTAACAGATGTGAAGAAAACCTAGCAAACACTCATGGACATGGGGAAACATGGTAGTAATTTTGTTAAAGATTAATTTTTTATAAGAGTATAAATTAATTTATCCAATATAATATAATTTTATATAATTAATAAAATTCATGCAAAAATAATATATGTAATAATATATTGTATTCTGAAGTGGAATGCTTAATATTCTGCATATTTACATTTAAGATACTGCATTCTCAGAATGTGAATCAGGATAATTTGATTAAGCACATATTGTAGCAAGAAAGGAAGTGTCAAATTCAACCTCAATATTTTCAGAAGACAGAATGCTCAAAACAGACAACAGAAATTCACAAAGTATTATAGGATTCTCAAAATTCTCAGCATGTCTGAGCTCTGAATGAACATTTTGTTTTCTTGTCAGGATTCAGAATATCCACAGTTACTTTCCAATGACAAGGAAAATGTCATGCCAACTGGGATCAAGCTTTATTTTAAAGTTGAAGGCATGAAATAAGCACCAAGAAGACAATTGTACACCTGTTTTCAAAAGTAAAAAGGCATCTCACATCTACTTTGCTTTTGAGAATTTGGCTGAGGAACATATTTCAGAAGCCCAATAGCTCATAACATTATTCCAAATGTTCTACTCTGTATGCCTAATTAGGCTGCTGCACATTTGCATAAGCATGATGCTTTATGATTAATGTATAAGACACAGCGTGGAGCCCAGAATAAATTCATCCACATAGAGATCCTCTCTCTATTTCTACTGCAAATATCCAGTGTGTCTGAACTGCAGTCTATCATACCTGTACTTATGGCTTTGTATCATATATAAAACTGTATAAACTGCATTATGAAGTCATACTGACCTGTAAATTTTTTAAACTAGAAATGTTAATAATAATAAAATATTAGCTTTTATAAAGCTAGTGGTATTTATACTTTCTGTGATTTATAAGAGGTTTTTTTTGTGTTTTTTTTCCATTGTAAAATTAAGTATGAACTCTAGAGCTTTATTCTCAAAATTGAACTCAATTATATTTAAAACAAAGTCTTGTTAAATGAATAAACTAATAATTACTTTTGTACTTTTGCTCATGGGGTAATGTTAACCTAAAGTGAACAAGAACTTGCTCTTCAAAAAAGAGCAACATTTTAATAATTCAATAATGCATCCACTCACAGTCAAAATAAATAGGAAAACTCCTGAAAATGTTAAGAAAAGTCTAAGGAATAAAAGCCAGAGGATGTCACAGTAAGGGTGCCTGGAAGATGCAAGTGAACCTTTGGTGGTTAAGCGGTGGAGATATCTGGAGAGACTACAAGCTGATACATGTTACATGTTCTATTTACTGCAATTCTTTGCACTAACATGAAGACTGATCTTAAGGGATCTTTCACTAATCTTGAAGAAAAAAATAAAAAAATACACTATTATTATTTAAAGCCTTTTTTCTTATGCCACAAATAGCATACACTGACTATGATTTATTCTTATATATCAACATGACCATTGTCATTGCCTTGGCCTAGCAGAGAAAGCTATAATGTGCAATGTTACTGGCAGCAACTCAAAGCTGGGCATAGAGTCAGTCATATTTTGTGTAACAGGGAAAAGATAGAAACAAAATTATTTGATGTGGAGTAGTGAGTGAAAACTCTATGAGCTACCTCCATTTTCTTTCAAAATTAATTTTAAAGTTGTTGGCAGAAAAAATATTTAAAGATTTGAGGTTTGGGGGATTTTAAAGTTTTGCTTTTGTGTAGCAGCTGACACCTAAATACTAAGATCTCACTGGTGGGCAGTGATTAGTGTCAATGGTCAGTGGGATTCAAAATAGTTTTGAACAGTATTTACCTGCATTTTGATACCAAGAATGAAACCATGGCCATTTTAAGTATTCTACTTAAAGACAACTAATGTTAAAATCCACTAAACATTATGTTTCTATTATTCTGATTTTAATATAAATATACATCACTGTATGTATATTTAATCTTTTCTACAGAAATAAGTTTATGCTTTGAACTAAATGCAGTGTGCCAAAAGCAAGGAACCTACACCTTGTTCAGGTGAGCACTGGTCAAAACAATCTATATTTGGAAGGGATGTATGTAATAAGCACAAAACAAGCAGAAGCCAGGATATAAAGCTCTAGAGGAAACTATTCCCCACCCTAAGTAATAAAGCCAACATAGAACAAGTCTATTCTATGATTCCTAAGCAACCTAAAGGATCACCTTTGTTGGGTGAACTCCCTAATCTCCATATATCCATATGTAATAAGAAAAACATCAACATGGCAGAAACATATTGCCAAAAGCTGGTATATTTGTATTTGAAAGTGAGGGGATTTTCCTTTTTGCCAGCTTTCTCTTTTCCCTTTGAAATTTGTATCTTTCTATCTGTTGAGAGCACTCATTAAAATATTTAAAGAAGTCTAAAGAAATTAAGTTTTCCCTCCAAGTATATGGTAGTTTTGCTTTAGGGTTTAAAAATCTTCATATTCTGTCTGAGCAGCTCCTATGAGATCATTCCTGAACTCTTGTGTCTCCCTTTATACAAGTTTTAGGGGGTTAAATCCACTTCACCAATGGTACACAGGCCTTCTGCCTTATGTTTTCTTGATAGAAATTCACGTTATAGCAAGCATTATCTGATGATTCTATAGATAACATATGAAAAGAAGCTTATTTCTTTAATATATATAATATATATAAAATAAGACATAAAATCATGTCACAAAGGGTTACATTTTATTACATTTTTTATTACAATAAAACAGATTTTGAGAACATTGACAGGTATAAACATATGGTATTTTCAAAGGAAACCTTAATATTAGATATGTTCTAATAAAATATTACATTCAATATTATATAACTTTAAAATATTACTATGCATTTCAATCAATATAAATACATTATTACCTTGTTGAAGCTTTGGTATGGAAAACATAGAGATTTGATAAATGTTCTAGGTTGTATTTGTGTACAACCAAGGTAGTTTCAGCAGCAAAGACCCTCACAATTTTCATAGTATTACATACAAAAATAAAGCATCAAAGGAACCAAACAACAGCAACAACAACATTTTAATAAACCTTCCTCAAAACATTCAATAAAAATTGAATTGTGAGTTGCTTGTCTGTGCACTTATTCTCCTTATTTCACTGATATTCTGTCCAAAAATGCTTGGAACAGCTAACACCTATCCAGAATCATAGGCACATGTAACCCCACACATAAGAAAAGGAGCAAAGAAACTGAAGGTCCTTGTATGAGATATGTGTTCTAACATGACTTTATAATTATTCACCCAGTAAAAAAAAAAAAAAATAAAAATAAAAATAAATTACTGCACTGTAGATGTCAGGATAATAGACGATTCAATTATGACTTTGACAACTTAGGTACCTTGTAGGATATTATATCACAATGCTCTGCAGCTTACCTCTGGTTAAAAACCAGGCTTAGCTCTGGTTCTGTAATTTCTCTTGCCTCCTCAGTTGGAAGTTTTCTGCTACTGCTTGGCCTGCTGTGTAGCCAGTATCTACAGATCTCTTATGTGTAGTAGTTTCATTATTTAGTACGACACTGGGAGTACCATCTATACATCAGTCACTCTGCTATATGCAATGTCTGTCACATGATACAGGCAAATAAAATATTCTTCTGTGGACAAAGGAGGAGAGGACTGCTCAAAGTCTGAATCTTGGGAATAAGGTTCTACTGCCACTGAGTTTCAGCCAAATGCTCACAGTTCACAGCCAGGATGGATAAGCAATAGCTTTCTTAACCTCATTCCTCTCTAAACAGGTGAGGTATCATTTGAATGGCATTCATTACTACTTTATTAAATATCTGTAATGGAATAGCTTTAAAAAACTCTTTCCTAAAAAACATAAAAACAAAAAAACCTTAGTGTTGGAAATGCCCATTTTTTTTTCTAAGCAATTTAAATCAGAGAGCTTTTCCTTGTGTTTCCCATACCTCTCCCACATGAGCTAATTGGTTTGTAAGCATGCATCCATTTCTCAGTGGTTAAAGCAAACAAAGTCAAGTGAAATCAAAGAAAGAGTTGATTTTATCTATAACACGTAAAGTTCTGTACAGAACCACTTTTTTGGCACTAGATGTGGGCCACTATGGCTTAAAATTATGCTTTGACAATACCATAGTCAATCTATTTCTCCACCACTGGAACTCAGATGCCTTCACTCAAATTCAATAATGTATTTTTTTCAGGTATCCTTTTCTTCCTGGATAGATGGTACAGTGGGTTCATATGGCTGTAGTCCACTGGACATGGTCATGAGTCATTAGAGCTGTCAAATAACTGCAATCCACATATTTTAGTGGCAAAATATTGTAATAAACAAAAGTTTTAAGTTACTTATTATTTAGGATAATTTTAATTTTTCAATTTTTGATTCTCTCTAAGACATAAACCTAAGGAAAATGAAACTATTATGTTTAATCCACAAATTAATCAGCTATCTTCTCTATGTTTCTATTAGATGTAATACCACTGCACTCATGCACACATGCACTTTATTTTTTCTGAGATGGAAACTGGTGATCCACATTGTCTTATGCACATGTTTGATACTCCAGAACAACTGGTTTTCTTTATGGGGATAAATATTCTGGTGGTCTTTTGGCCTTCTGTCTTCTTTTCAGAACAGTGTGCAAGCCAGTGAAAAACAAATAACCCTCCTAGAATATGAAGGAAACAGAAATACCAGTAAAAACCATATTAATGAAGAAAGGTTTTTATAGATGATTTTCTGAAATGGAACTTTCTATGAACTCTTGGTGATCCTATTCTTTCAACTTGATGAAATACCACCCTCTTTTCCACCATGAAACCTCACAAAGTTGAAGCCGGGGGAAAAGATTGTAGTAACTGCTTTAAATGAAGGTGCACTGGCTGTCTACAGTTCTTTGCTACAATATCTTCTCAGCCGAGAATCTAACGAAGCAATACGAGGTTTGTTTCTCACTTTCCCATAATTCCTCTGCTTTTCAAGATGTTTCCAAAAGACATATACATCTGTTATATCTAAGTGTCACTACAAAACAAAATGTAGCTCACTTTGTTTTCTGAAAGAGATTCTGGTTACATGTGTATGAATCAGACCAAACAAATATTTTTCTCTTCTGTCATTATGTATTGAATATTCAACATCAATATTTTCAGCACAGAGCAAGTCGTCATGTTTATTTAGTGGTCTGAATTCTTTCCAACATGACTTGCTGATTGATAGGCTCAGAGAAAGCTTTCTTTTGAATACATATGGGATTTATTCCTGAAATAGATGAAATTTCTTTTCCATTTGAATGTACCTGTACCTGTTGTCAGCAGTCAGGATTTCACAAGAAGACATAATCCCAAAGACATCTTAAATGAGAGCACAGAGATGTTTGAAAATTGTCAGCAGTCAGGATTCACAAGAAGACATAATCCCAAAGACATCTTAAATGAGAGCACAGAGATGTTTGAAAATGCAGTTCTAATACCTGAAAAATTTCCCAATGTAACTTCAAAATGAGAAGAGATGTTATTCCAGACTTTGTTGCTAAGGCAAACTGCCATGCGGGGAACAAATTGTATTGCTTTGCCAAAGCTGCTTTCATGCCTTCATAAAGTCATCTATTACAATATGCCTAATTATTGATTAATGAGCAGTACAATACCACAACACCTAAAGTCAGGGAAAGGGGTGCAGCCTTCTCACCTAATAATAGTGGAGACTTCCATGTACAGCTGTACCTCAGGGTATTCAGAGCAACGAGGGCTGTGAGGCAACCTGAAAATGAGATTTTTGGGGAGAAAACTCTCAAGGAAATTGTTCAGTTATGAAGAAAGGAAATGTCTCAACATCCTTCCCAGAAGGTTCAGTCTTTTAAAAGGACCTCACAGGAATGCGAATAACAGTAAATATAACTTTTGTTCTTATTTGTATCACTTCATACCTAAACATTGAAATTAGTCTATGAGCAGAATAGATGTTTTTGACTCAAGAGTATTCAGGAGAAAAATTACTAAAATAGCATTTGGTGTAAATATGACCATCCTCTGCTTTATCCTATTAAAATATTAGAGGCCTAAGAAAATTCTGCTTTTTTCTATTGATGTATATCTGACAGTTTTCAGTGGTAAAAGATGGAGATAATCCCTTTATTTTTCTTTTTACAGGCAAAATTGGAGTATTTTTTTAAGATGGTAGCAAACAGCTTTAAACTGTCCTTGGTCATATCTTACCTTTTTAAGCTGTCTTGGCACTAGAATGGGTTCTTCTTTGCTGCACTTTACTGAAACTTAAGCACCTTTTCATGGGAAAGGAATGTAAAAACAGGTTAACAATAGCTTAGAACAGAAATTATTTATGGGTGAAGACAAAACTTTTAAAGAAACTTCCTGTTTGACTATCCAGGGGTCCTCTGGCGCAGTCACTCTCGCTCAACCTGAGCTGGGATGGAAGGTCCTTCACTGCTGCACCTCCTGCTGTCACACAGTCACAGCAGGTTTCCTCACCTGCTCAACCTCAGGTCTCCCATTGCAGTCTTGGACATCCAGATCCTTCAAATAATTTAATCATGGTGCAATAACCAGATAACAAAACTAAACTTGAGCTGGTACATCCAAGGAGGGACCCAGGACAAAGGAATCTTTGGCCTTTTATACCATCACAGTCTGAGTGACAGTCTGGGAGCAAAGGCCTCCTGCCATGTCTGGTCCCCCGGCAGGACCACAGGTCCCTGTGACCTTAGTTTTGCAAAGGGTTAGCAGGACACAGACTCTTGCCTCAGGCTCTCATCACCCAGAGCTCAACCTGCAGCTCACATTGCAGCTTTCAAATCTAGCTACATGCACTGCATGCATTTATCAATGAATGATAAAAAGACAGACATCTAATGGGTTCAGAAAATGGTGTTTCAGCCACACCAGTTAAAATCAAGCATTAGTTTTATCTGTTTACTGTGAAGGTAGGTAGACCTTTATAAGTAGGAATATTTGGAACAATGGATGCTGCCTTCTAACATCTGGATGGGCACAAACACTTATGTTCACAACATGAGGCATGAACATAAATCAGAGATCTGTGTACACTAGACCTTTATAAGTAGAAATATTTGGAACAATGGATGCTGGATGCTGCCTTGTAACATCTGGATGGGCACAAACACTTATGTTCACAACATGAGGCATGAACATAAATCAGAGATCTGTGTACAGCTCCAGGGCTATGATCCTCTTGGGATCACAAAGACATGGTGTCATGGATCCCTTGACTGGTTGCAATGGAGAGATACAGGCTCTTTAGGAAGGACAGGCTGGGAAGACAAGGTGGAGCAGCTCTCTATATGAGACAGAATACTTGCAGCTCTGCTTGGGATGGTGATGAGCCAGCTAAGAACTGATGGGTAAACATCAGAGAGTAGCGGGTGTCTGATAGAGGCTGCCTGACCAGAAGGATGAAGTAGATATATACACCCTATATACAGAAGATAGGAGCATTCTCACATTTGCAGACCCTTATCCTCATAGGGGTCTTCACCCAACCTGTTATTTGCCAAAGGGAAGACACAGGGGGTTCTGGTTAGTAACTGGTATGGGTTAATGACTCAAAACACTCTCCACTTGTGGAGGTCCCAGGATGCTTTGTGGAAGCCAGGTTTGGAGGTGGAGGAAGGGAGCTTTTGGGTGTGTAATGGATAACTTGTGAGCTGGTAAAACACAGGGTGAATGATGTGCTATGAGTGAGATGACAAATCCTATGGGAATAGGGTGGTGATCTTGTTAGGCTGAACTGTCCTCCCTTACACAAACCACTGGGTTGTAAAACTCCCATCCTACCACCCTCCATGGAAGATCTGATGGGGCATTCCTAGCCCTGCTGTGTTGATATGAGAGGAGAAAACTGTAATGTCTCAGACATAAACCATCAAAGACTCCTGAAGTCCCTCCAGACTCAGATATGAGTCCTTCCACCAGAGAAATTAAAGCTCCCCCACAGGGGAGGTACCCAGGCACTCCCACCTAACCTGGGTGTATCATAACTCATAGGACTTCATTTCAATAGGGTTTTCAAGACTGTTTCTTCTAAAATCCTCATAGAGAAGCTAATGAAGTTTAGCCTGGATGGACAGACAGTGAGCTGGATTGAAAACTGGCTGAATGGCCAGGCTCAGAGGGTAGTGATAAGTGTCCTGAAATCTTATTCCAGCTAACAATTTGGAGTTTACCTCATGGGTCAATTCTGAGTCAAATTCTGGTTAGTATTTTCATTAACAATCTGAACAATGGGCAGCATGTACCCTCAGTAAGTTTGCCAATGACACAAAACTAGGAGGAGTGGGCTGACACATCAGAGGACCATGCTGCCATCCAGAATGACTTTCCAGGCTGGAAAAATGGGTGGAGAGGAGCCTTTGGAATTCAACAAGGGGCAAGTTCAAACTCCTGCACAAACAATTGCATTAAGTTTCCCTAGATCTGAACCACCAAGGAGTTCTGTTCACTTTGCTTCTGAAGTCTGAAATTTCTTTGAGTCAAATAGAAACACTATACATGTAAAAAAACTTGTATTAAATTATGTATTTGAATGAATGTTAAGATTTAATGATTAAGTGCTGCGTCAGTATACTGACATGATCAGGTTTTATAGGACAACAACAAGTAGTTCTTTCAAGTCTTCAAAGTCTTACAGTATTCTTCTTATACTGAAAAGGGTTATATGAAACTGATAGACAGCTGGGTTTTTAAAAGGAAAAAAAGGCAAAATACTCCATATAAAAAACAACTGTGCCTGAAACTAGTAGAATGCAGATTTTAATATTAGGAGTAAGTGAGGTGATAATGCAACCTTAGAATAATAGGATTACACAAATGATTTATAAGCTGCACCAAAACCCATTCTGTTTGACATGGTCATTAAGAGATCAAACATGTTAGAAAGTGAAAGACTTTATTGTGCACAACAGTTTCTGAGCATGGAATGACCATGATGGTGTAGAAAATGCTCTTAGCCCTCTCTTCTGACTATGAAATGACTAGTAGTAAACATTTGATGCAGGAGGTTTATCAAGAACAAGTTTGTTTCTGTAAAATACCCAGGACCTTGTATAAGCCAGTTCCTACTGGTACATCTCGTGACTTTTGAATCCTCATGATACATCATTTACAACAGTCTCTACTTCTGATTTCTCCAGTTCAGTTAAGCATTATATGAAATCTACCTTTCATTTTTCCTGGTGCCTGATGATTTTGTCCAACGCCCTTAGTGTGCTCAGCAAGAAACACTGAGTAATCATTTGCAGCTCCCATCTGGCTAAAGATCAGAGACATTCCATCAGAGAGTAATCATGGAGCAATGCAGGGACAAACTAAATGCCTCTCCCTCTCTTATTTTGTTGAGAAACTTATAAAAATCATGAATGCCATCAGTTTATAAGTAAGAAAGCAAAGAACCATCATGTCCTTCAGTTTTAAGTGTTTTAAGTGCCATTTCTTTACAGCATCAATTAACATATGGTGTGGAGACTACTAAAAGGAAATGTGTGAGTATACGTATGCTCGTGGCCAGCTCTCTCTGTTGAAAAAGAATGAGTTAAAATAAACTATTTGCAAAAAGACAGTGATACTACCAGATGTTTTGTAAAGATCAAAAATTATCTCGAAAGAGAACTCTAGGGCAGATGGTACAATGTGCAAGAGTTTTAAAGAATTCTGTATGAAAAATCATTTTTGTAGTGCATACCTCAAACTGCCAAAGACTCATAGAAATTAGTTCATTATCTAACTGACTCTCGGTCCTCATCTATATGTTTCTCTCAAGTGCTTTCTTGGGGTAAAAAACCCTCACATTATTTTTACATAAATCAAGTCGTCCCCTTATCATAATCCTAAAATTATATGTTATGTAGTGTGCAACAAACAGTAGAGTCTGTACTTTTTTAAAAGATAAAAATGCTTTGTTATTCAGAATATGAGCAGCAATGTGAAAGGAATTGAAAGTAGGTATAGGATTTAAAAAATGAGAAAAGCAATAGAGTTTGGAACATTAAGTATTCTTGAACTGTATGGAATTCAATGATTCTGTCCTTGGCAGCCCTCTCCTTTTCATTAACTTATTTTTCCTCAATGAAAAACCTGCTTCTTACTTCAAAACCTACTGCTAACTTTCTTCTAACGCAGGTCTCACCTATTTCAACAGTCATACCTCCCTCTTCTTTGCCTCTTTGCTTTCTAACTCAATTCCCATCTTTCAACTATGTTGCCTGGCTGAATGCTTGGAGACACTGTTGGGACAGATTTGTATGTTGTTGCATATGAATAGATTCCACTTTCACTGTGTCCATTAATTGTTACTGCACTTGACCACAATTTTTATTTATAGTCCTTTTCCATTGATTCTCATAATGCAGTCTCTCTTCTTGAATTTCAAGCACAATTGCTTTACTTTTCAGCAATTTCTACTTTTGTATTGTAAAAGTATGTTGCAGAATGGCAATAGAGACAGTATGGGTATAACTTCAGAGAAATAATAGGAATATTATGACATACTGTAAGGAACAATTCCTTACTTCAAGCATCCACATGCAATTATCTTCCCACAACATAATACAATGGAATTCTAAACAGGTGATTTCATGATGTTCGTATCAACTCCGACTAATTTGTAGCCAAAGATTTGGGTATTTAACAGAAACATGTTTAAGTCATGCTGCTATCTCTTCTGCCAGTTTATATGACAAAGGAGATACTACATGAGAAATGTCTTTACTTTCTCTAAGCTGAGCCAATTTGAGAAAATATTAATTGCAAAAACTGGAGAAGAACTTCAGTAATACTTCATTAATTTAATGAAGAACAGAATGTAACCTAGGAATAGTTTATCTGTTAATATACTCATTTTGACATTGCTACTATCAGAGTAGTCCACTAAAAGCATTGACAGCTTTCACTGATTTGAAATCAGAACAAACCTGTGGAATTTTTGGATAATTTCTGCTCAAAATTTTTATTATGTGAAAATGTGTCTGTTAAAATATCAATTTTGCTATGAAATTCAAATTTGTTTTAGATAATTTTAGACATAATATTTCTTCTTGGGGCAAATAGATCTCATTCTTGACATTTTCATTTGCAAAATAAAATCAAAAACTGTTTCAATATTTGTTTGCCCCTTTGTTAGTCCCTAAGGAAGCTTTTAACAGCATTTGTTAGGATGGCTCATAGAGCTTTTCTACAGAGAGGAATCACTGATTTAATTATATCTCCTATAAAATAATTCTGTTTCCCTTCTGAATGCATGACTAAAGCTCCTAGGCAGATTTTACTATGATTTAGCTTACCCTACATTTGGAGTTCATAGTGCATATGGAATTATAATAAATCCCTGTGGTATTCAGGTTCGTATCAAACTGTGAAAAAAAGCAAGTATCCAACAGTAGTTTGATGAATAAAAAGAAAACACTGTAACAGCAATAGCCACATCCATGAATCCTCCTTCCTGCCCCACCATCCCCAAGCAGACCCCTGATGGAATGGTGACAGTAACTAAGGCTGAGCTGCTGGAGAGCTGGATATCCCAGGCAAACAGGGATTAGTCCAGTGCACCTCAGAGTATGTGCACACAGCATCCTTCTGTCCAGGGTATCCCAGACAGTTGGCCCACAGTTATTTAATTGCAATATGTTAGCAGGAATGATTACAAAAACTAAAATTAGAATGTTGCTTAAAGAAAAGCTTTTTAAGCTTCCAGTGCAGAAATAATTTGCTGCTTTGCCATGTCATTCTGTGACAGGATGAAAACAAATGTCAGAATAATTAACTTTGGGGGAAAAAAAAAAACCACCTCTGCCCCCTATTACCTGTATTATACTTACTTTATTTAAGGGGCATGAAAACAATCATAGATCAAATGTCCTTAATTATGAAAAATCCCCCAAAGCCTCTGTTTCTAGGAAAGTAGAATTTTTGCAGTTCTTGCAGAACTGAGTAAGCAATTATGCAGTAGGACAGAAAACTTCCAGTTTTGTGGCATTTAGATACAGTGAAAATAAGATAGAAAGGGGAGATGAAGGAAAATTGTCCAGATGATCTATTTAAAACTGACCAGGGATTTAAAAGTAGATTTCTAACATCATTAAAAGTAAAATTGACTGCAGTAAGGATTACACATTGGCTTCCCCTCTGCCACATATTTTTCCCCTATCTGTGAGTGCTCTTTAAGAACCAGGATCAGGTTATCCTGGTGTAGCAGCTCCAGGAACATCATTTCTGATGATTCTCCTTGGGCAACTGGAAAGTCTCACATGCAATCTAAAGGTATGAACCCTGGGGTAACCTGGCAAGCTTCACCACCAGCAGACTCAGATACCACCATGAAGATGTCAGGATCATCTAGTTTAGTAATGGTGGCACCCACATAATGTAGAAAATGTAGGTATTCCCCTTTTTTTTTTTTTTTTTTTTAATTGGTGCAGATTACAGAATCACAGAATATTCTGGGTGGAAGTGACCCACAAGGATCATCAAGTCCAAGTCTTAAAGGAATTGAACTCAGAACTTGGGTGTTATTAGCACTATGCTTTAATGAACTGAGCTAATCTCAGGGTAAGATAAGGTCATAAAAAATATTTATAACTAAGATTTAATGGAATCTGGCTTTTAAAAGTCTTGGATTGACATTTTACCATGTGGTTCTTTACTGGTTCTGTATTATAGAATTTTTGAACTGCTGCATAAAAATATTTTGGCAACAGCCTGAGAGAACAATAAACAGATCTATCTGAAATGAGATACGTGTTCAATCAAAAAGAAAACAAAGCACCACAAATCACACAGATACAGAAAACAATAACTAGAGTAGAAAGAAGGAATGTTAAAATAAAAAGTATTGATTATATTGTGTAAAATCCTGTCAAGACACATATCTGGAAAAGGAGATTAATTGAATTACCTCTAAATAGCAAAAATCTGAAAAATTACCAGAAGAGTATTTAAGAGTTGGACAGAGAAATATTTAGTAGAGCAAATATAGTTATAAAGCCCAGAGTATATCTGTGCAAGTTTATGCTGACATAATAAAAATGTACCTACCATAACAGTCCAGCAAATAACCTAGTTAGAACTTTCTTACTCTTCATTCAGGCTCAGCAAGTACCTTTCCTGACAAAGGGGAGAGAGATCTGAAAATGGTAAACATGTGAAGTAATCATAACTTGTGCTTCCCAGAGCCAGCAGGAAGAGGCAGAAAGGATAATAACTTCTACAAGTTTTGCTAGTTTGCTTTTTTTTTTTTTTCCAATGCCAGTGCTTAGAGCACGTTGAGTCATCATCAGCTGTGGAGATTTCACTGAGTTTGACTGGATATTTTTTGTACATTTTGAATGCTATCCCAAGGCCAGATTTGCAATCTTCATTCAATTAACTGTCATGTACAGTCCAAGTCCTGTTCCTGTGCACCATATGTGTCTTTATTTTGCTTGGTGCCTTAATCTGCAAGGTGCCACAGATGTACTGATGTGGTCATTTGGCAGATGGATCATGAAGTCTTTTCTGACCAGCTATTTTCAATGTTTGTGTCAACTGCAAAGCAGAAATAAATAGTGATTACAAAAAGCAAATAATACTCATTTTATTGCCCAGTGAAGGCAAAGTTGGGACAATAGCAGAACAGCTGTTTGGCATACTTTCTGGGATTTAGAATCCCTAACAGAGACCTAAGCACTTGTGTGTCCATTTGTGAGAATCAGCTTGGATATTTGTTCCAGAGCTTTATAGCTGCCAGCATTTCTATGCTCTTTATGCTGGGAAAAGTGTCAACTTGCCTATACATGCTAGATAAGCAAAGGCTGTGAGCACATTTAAGGGAACGACCAGGGAAAAAGCATTTTCATTTATTCACTGTTAGCAGCAAAAAGCAACAAGGAGTAGAATATGACCACTGCCACAAGCATGAGAAGGATGGAACCCTGGAAAAGGCATTAGGCAACCAGCAAAAATTTCTGATGCCTCTTACATTATAAAATACTTTTCTGAGAAAACCCACCAAAAAAAAAAAAATTAGATGTCATTCTTTAGTATCTGTAATTAGCTCTTAGGAGTAAGATTTCTCCCTCCATCCAATTAATGGACATACTAAAAAAGTAATACATTAAATAGATTATAATATAGATAATATATATTAGCTATAATATATATTAGCTATATACTTTGACACCTCCCTTTTTGAAGAGGTTAAATCTGATTGCAAATGGGTGAAGCTTATGTTAAGATACTTGTGAATATTCCATAATTAAAGTGGTGTATTTTTAGAATTAAGTCCCTGATATGACCCCTACAGTTCTGTTTTCATTATGGCATGCAAAAGAAATAGGAATTTGTCTAGCTTAGAGTAAATCCTTCTCTGTGACTGCATTTTGATTCCTTCTCATCTGATGGTATTGATGAGTATATTGACAACTGTCACTTCTCTTCCAAATTATTTAAGTCTGTGCCTGGTCTATATGTATTCTTTCACAATTCCACTTGTGGAGAGCTACTTTAGACTGGTGGAAAAATTTTGAATTTCATATTTGAATTGAAAAGTATATAGCACCACAGTACATAGTTAAATATTAAAGAGAATTATATATATATTTGTGTCAACAGAAAAAAAAAGAGAGAGAGAAATGATACCAAGACTTCAGTTCAAATAGATCCACAGAATATAGAGGACATATTATTGCATAAGTAATTTATTGGGCCACAAATTAGGAAGAAGCTAACATGAGTTTTAAATGTAAAAATATACATATTCTCATGTAGTAAAAGAGGTATTTGTAAGTGGAGGCTTTTAAGTGCATTTCTCACAAGAATGCCAAAATACATGGTGGTAGGGGATATCACCTAAAAGTAATGGCTAATCGCTTTTTGACTGTTTGAGCATGTTTTATTCTCTTTTGATAGGAAATGCAAACTGTCATCATTGGCTGAATGATAAGTGGACTAATTGATTGCAGGAGCAATTAAGTAGTATTTTTTCCTTGTTTTTTAAGCAATTAATAACTCTAAATTCTAAACTTAAGCCAGCAAGACAGCTTCACTTGTGTCATGAATTAATTATGATCTGTGTAATATCCATCAAAGAGAAGTGTCTGACCTATTGAAAGGAAAAGCCTTGAGCATACTTTGAATCTCTCTTTCTCACTTTATCTGTTTACTTCCCTTTCTCTCTCTTCTGCTGACACAGAACTTTCATTCCTTTCTAGTAAATTAACTTATTTGCCCCCTTTCTGGGCTCCTACCTCACTAAAGTCTTGGGAAGACATTTGCTGATAGCACAGTTCAGTTGAATTTATTGTCTACATTCTAGTGTACACTTCATCTGCATGGTTATTCTGCATGTTCTTCCATAGTATTCCATATCTGGCCAGGCAAACCTGGAGTTTCTTCTTATTTCCTAGTCACAGTAATAATCAACATAATTAATAATAGCAGTATCATGTGTATTTATGCAGAATTCATTACTATTTCTTGACCTCTCACTAAATTTTTGTTACTAGTGTATGAAACCTTTTTTTTTTCTGGTAGAAATAACTTGAATGAGTTTGCCAGTGATACTAATTAAGTGATACTAATTAAGAGAACCTTGAGAGCAGAGGGGCCTTAAAGAGAGGTCTGGGTACCATCAACAATATGAAATTTGGCATGTACAGACACCATGGGACAGGATAATCCAGGTTATAAATAATGGGAATAAAAGGCAGGAGAGCAACCCTGCAGAAACTGATCTGTGAGTCTGGGTTGGTTGTAAGTTTAATATCAGTCACCTAGGTCCTGGTGGCCAGGACAGCCAGCCATGTCTTGGGTGCATCAGGTACAGCATCACCAGCAAGGCAAGGGAGGGGAAAGCTCTCTTCTGCTCTGCACTGATGTGGTAGCACCTCAATTACCGTGTGCAGTGTTGGGTGCCTCAATATAAGAAGAAAATCAAATTATTTGAGTGTGTCCAGAAGAGGGCAACCAAGATGGTGAAAGGCCTCAAAGGCAAGACTTTCAAAGGTGGCTGAGGTCAAAGGTGATTTGTTCAGCTTGGAGAAGGGAAGGCTGAGGGGTGACCTCATCACAGTCTACAACTTCCTCAAGATGGGCAGCAGTGAAGGTGGAGGCAGTGTTTATCTCCTCTCTCTGAGACCAATGATAGGACACAAGAAAATAGAATTAAGTTGTGTCAATAGAAATTCAGATTAAATGTTAGAAAAAGGTTCTTCACTGAGAGGATGGTCAATCACTGGCTCTGCAAAGAAGAAGCTCCCTAAGGAAGGGGTTGTGGCACGAATCCTGTAAGAGTTCAAGGAGCATCTGGAGGAAGCTTTTAGCTATATGGTTCCTTCCAATAAGAGATATTCTGTGAGTCTATGATGCTATGAATTAAGGAAAGGGAACTTAAAAAAAGGCAGGCCAAAATAAGAAATTAGGAGGCAGTCATATTTTTCTTATAGAATTTGCTTATTAGATTGAAGAATTTATTGTGATTTGAGGCCAAAGTCCTTCGTAGAACATGTATTTGGACAATTTGTGGTTTGATTTGCCATAGGATTCAAATTCTTTTAATGTCATTAACTGATTAAACCAGTGATTGACTCTGTTTTCAAACTAGAAAAAAAAAGAATGAAGAATTCTTACATATTGACAATTTTTTCAGCTATTAATTGCTTTGCTTCACTGCATGTTTTTAGGAACATTATAAACATTTTCAGAACCTAGAAGTCTTTTTAAAGTAATACGATTTATGCATTACAACATATAAGAGCATGCTTAACATCTCCCTCCACAAAAAATATACCAACCAGTTGCCTTAAAAACTCTTTGGTTGGTTTCAGGCAACTGTTCCACTGTGTCCAGCGTCTGGGTTACAGGCTGGCCCTATCCTTGACAATGACCTCTTGCAACAGGTCATTCAGCCCCTGTTGTCAGTCTCCCAGTCCACCACTCCCACAGTATCTTCCTGTTTTAATTTCCAGCACTCTCATGGCCTATTTCTTCTCTCTACTGTGTGTGAATGGAAACAAGGCAGATTCCCTGAAGACTGTACTGGACATTAAGGAAACACAGTATGAACAAAGCAATAGGGATTCAGGAGCTGTGGTGTAAGTACTAAGTAGCTTAGGGCTTAAAAGTTCTCAAAGCCTAGTTCTCTCTCTCTTGGAGGCCTATGACCTGTTACCAGGTCTGAAGGACAATTGTGATGCATTCTTTGATGTGCCATTTTAAAGAGAAATGCAGTCATGCATTTCTTCTCATTATATACAAATTTAAACTTTCTGGATTATTGGAAACAGAGTGCTCTAGACAGGTGACTACTGTAGACTGGGATCCTAGACCATGTGGTTAATGTGAATTAATGACCACAGAACACACTCTGTTGACTTTCAATAAGGTTGCACTGGATTGATTACATGAAAATCCAACATAAGAATCCACTATTAGATGAGATACTACTAAACATCTTAGCGCATATATGTATGTATATATATATATATATATATGTATATATATATATATATCAGGTATATATATTTCTTAAGAAGTCCAGATGATAAATCAGGAAGAAATATGTGAGAAATGAAATTAGTATCATGAATATCATGAAAGATTTAATATATTTTTTTGTTTTACTTTCCATGAAAAATTTGAATAAATTAAGTAAAACAAGTGGGGGAAGTAAGAAAAATCATGAGAAAGAAAGAGTAGGTCGAGAAACATTACAAAGATTCCAATTATTGCTATTAGTAGTGTCATTAAAAACCCACTCCAGCCATGGAATTTTAATGTCGCTTTATCCCCCTACAAGATATTATTTCCACCCAGAAAAACTGGTTTTGTTTTCTAAATTATGTAACCAAAAAAATGCAATATATTGTCTTCTTTCTGCAAAGATATATAGGCAATCTGTAAAACAATTTACACTTTACAAATTGTGTTATATTACTTCAGATTCAGAGAATGTCAACAGACATGATTAAAGGATAGGCTATGTTAAAACACTTAATAGCAATTTTGCGTTTATTTTGATGGGTAATTTCTTTCTTTTCTGTGGTCAGTTTTACAGGCCTGTGTAGAGTTTCCACAAGAATAACAAAACTAAAAGAAAACATAAAACAAATATACCAATGAGAAATTATTTAGATCCATAAAGTTACATCTCTTAATTTTTAAAATATTTATGACCTAAGAAAGGCTTTGGAATACTTTGTGAGTGGGTTTTTTTCATGTCACAATAAAAACAGGAATAAAGCTGAGACCTTTGAATGTACTTTGAGTTTTGAGTATTTAAGAAAGTAAACACCTTTACTGGCATATGCATTAGTTATCCCATTCAATAACGACAGACATTTTTTCTTTAAAAAAACACAAAACCTGTAGAACTCGCAAAGAAAATAGTCAAGAACAGAGATCACATTTTGCACTCTGCTCTCTCACAGAGTTGTTGTATAACTTTTGGAGAGGAACATATTTGACTTTCCTGAACTTCTCCTTATTTTTCATCACACTGAAAAATATAATAATTTTAGTTATATTGAAATCTCTGCAACAACTTAATACCAAGAAATTAATTTAATGAAATTATTCTCCTGCTTTAAGATAGACATACACTAAAATATATGAGCATTGAGGCATATGAAAGTTTTAGGGTTATGCCATAAAGAAATGGCAATATTTCATAGAAAATTTGTAAAAATAGATGTTAAAAGTAATCACTCTGAAGTACAAACAAATTTGTTGTCCATCAAAAATTAATATTTCAGAGGGAACATCTCTGAATGGATTCAGCTTAATTTTGGGAGGCAAAGCACCTTGAGCATTTAGGCACCACTAAATGCCACATGCCACATAAGTCTAAGGATCCCTAGAAATAATGACATAAATATATATCACTGAATGTTTTACAGCA